ACTCTAATCTTTTTGTAACAATACAATGTTATTAGAAATACGTATAAACATTATCGGAAAAAAAATATAAGTGAGGTCACAGTTCTAATTATAGTCAGGATGATAGTTTATTTTCTACAATTATATTCTTGGCCTCGTTTTCATTCTCACAAGAAACGTTTCTTGTGTGTTGAAGCTTCATGTAAAAAAAAATCAATAAATTATCAGGGAGATAATTGTACTCACAGAAAAACATTACTTAAACTTCTCTTATATCAACTTTGGGAGTGAAAGCATTTTGGATGTCGCTTCTTTTGTTCTTCCTCCATTGGCGATAAACTTGATTTTCATGACATTTCTTCACATTATTAGCAACTAGTCCTTTAACTATAAACTCTAGATTTAAAGAATGCGGATAGGTTGTTTAAGTTAATTGGTAACGCCCTTGTAATACCCAAGTTTTGAAAATCGCAAAGTTTTTCGGGATGGAGGTAGTATTTTTTTTAGCTTAATACACTTATCAATCAATTTTTTTTACCAAATACATCATTTATGACTTCGCGTGTTGAAATGAATAATAGTCATAATAAGTAAGGGTGAAGTTACTTTGCTGATTGAATAAGGTGAAGTTATTGACAGATAAGAAATTCACATACCCGCACCCGTAATACTCTAAAGAAAAAATAAAATTCATTCATTTTAGGGCTGAGCAAAACCCGATCCGACCCGAAAAACCCGATATTTTTTCGGATATTATCCGAACCGAAGTGGATATCCGACCCGAAAAACCCGAAACCGAAAATCCGATTAGTATTGGGCCTAGATCGGGTGGCGGGTAGGGTTTGTGAAATCCCAACCCGACCCGCCCGAATATCCGAAATATATGTTAGTGTGTACTTTGAATATTTAAATTAATACTTGTGTTCAATTATTTGTGTTATTATTTGTGCAATTTGTATTAAATTGTTTGTGTAAATTGAATGTGTAGTGAACTAGTGTGTACAATTTTTGTTAAAGTGGCATTCCAACACTTTAACTATCCAATTATAATGTGTTTTGATATAATCAAAATATCCGAAATATATTAAATTATGTAGTGTGTACTTTGAATATGTTAAATTAATACTTGTGTTCAATTATTTGTCTAATTATTTGTGCAATTTGTGTTAAATTATTTGTGTAATTTGGAAATTTAGTGCACTAGTGTGTACAATTTTTGTCAAAGTGGCATTTAAACACTTTAATTATCCAATTATAATTTTTTTTAATATAACCGAAATATCCGAAACCCGACCCGATATCCAAAAATATCCGACTTAAAAATATCCGAAATACCCGATTTGAAATATCAAAGGGTCGGGCCTAGTATTTAAATTAAAAAACCCGAACGGGTTTAGGGTTCGCAAACCCGACCCGCCCGAACCCGACCCGTGCACACCCCTAATTCATTTTATTAAACATCTAAAAGTATAGAGTTTGGCATGGACTATTCAAATTTTTGTAAATTCCCCCTACCTCAAGTTCACCTCACGTTTTAAATCTTGTTTAGTACCACATAGTTTTTCAACTTGACATTTCACTCTTTTTTATCAAACACCTGGGATGTTTTCGACCCAACAAGACCAGATCAGACCAGACTTGACTTCCTGTAGTTATAAAATACACAAAGACCACACCAGACCAGTTCAGCCAGACCAGCAAATTTCAGTCCAAAAGAAAACATCTCTAGTATTTTATTTCTGTGTTGGTATGAATAATAATCAAAATATTTAATGTTGAAGTTACTTTAGTGACCAAAGTTGATGTAGAACATCATTTTACTTATTTTCATGTAATTTTTTCTAATTTTAATATACTGAATTTTAAATATAATCCTACACCGTTTCAGACATGTAGCTACTTTGACTGAAACCTGCGGCCCGAATTGCCTTGAAAAGAGATGAGCCCGAAAGTGAAAGAAGCACACGTGTGGAAATTAAAACTGCTATTTCCTTTTGAGGTGTACATACGTATGATCTCAGGGAGAATGGATAATGAGCAGCTCACTCCTTTGAGAACCAGAACAATAATATAAACATACGGATGAGTAACGGCTGTTTCATAATACAACTTCAATGATCCTTAAACAACAATTCTTGACCAAGCTTTATTAGCAATCAAGACGGCATTTCAAATTCAAGTTTTGAATCGTCCAGTTGCATCTTAAAAGCTATCAATTTTATTATCATTACTATCAGGGGCGGAGCCAGGACACTGGGCCGGACTGGGCCAGTACAAAGAATATTTTTGGAAAAAAATTTACACAGAATTTTTTATCCTAAAAATTTAGACATTTTTTAAATTTGGGCTGGGCCATGGCCAAGGATGGCCACCCCCTGTCTACGCCCCTGATTACTATTAAGATAATAATCGATTTCAAAATTGTTGTCCACAAATTAAATGGTCTTTTAACTTGAGATATTTTTTTCATATACTTTTAGATCATCCCGAACGGGCCTGAGAGTACGGAATAATATTTCAAGCTACCTTACATGATACTTGAATGATATTTCTTATCACATAATATTTTATTAAATTATGTCTATAATCAATTTCATTTAATTTAATATGTGAATCTAATGAATTATGATATGTTTACATGTTTAACATGTGCAACCTTTTAAAATGAGCCTAAAACAGTACCAAATTAGCATACATAACTTACAAAATGAGTATCGAAATATTAAAAACTCATTTGTGTGTACTCATTCATTTTGGATGTTATACTCATTTGAGTTTAACATAAAACTCATTTTGAAATATGCATAAATATGACATTTTAAAATGAGTATTGCACTAAAGTCAAATGAGTTTACATAAATTACAAAGTGAGCATTCAAAAAACTCATTTGAAATGTCTACTATGCTCATAATTGTGATACATAACTTACAAATGAGTATCAAAATATTAAAAACTCATTTGTGTGCACTCATTCATTTTGGGTGTTATACTCATTTGAGTTTAACACAAAACTCATTTTTAAATATGCATGAATATGACATTTTAAAATGAATATTGCACTAATATCAAATGAGTATACATAGATTACGAAATGACCATTCAAAAAACTCATTTAAAATGTCTAATATGCTCATAATTGTGCATGATTTGATTGCTTCATAGTAGTTTGGAGATAAATCCATAGTAGACTAGTAGTCAGAAAAGATGACTCAGAAAAGATGATGCCAATGCTAAGCATTAATCGGCAGCTTCCTTTAAATTCCATTGTGCTAAGCTGTAATTCCAATTTGATTCATTCATTGCTAGAGATGATTACACCTGTATGAACTCAGAGAGGATTACGGAAATGGTTTCTCATCAAGCTCCTTCCGGCACGTGAAGGGGAAAGGGAGAATCGGAAGTTGCAGAAGCAGTAAACAACCAGCCGGAATCCTTCATTCGTGAGTTGGGCCTGTCAATCGCCGTCTCCATAGCAGCTGAAGCCGGAAGCGAGGAAGACGGTCGACACCTACGCACAAATCAGAAATTAGGGATTAGAAATTTATTGAAAGGCTTAAAGTTGACAGCTGAATATTACAAAAATACCCGACTGTACCATGCAGAAGGTGCAACCGGTTGTACTCAAAATCCAGCCAACTGGCCAGCTGGGCTATTTGGATTTTGAGTACATGCTTTCATTTTTTTGATTTTATATTATACTTTCGTAACCATTTTTTTATTACCCCAATTGTAATTTGTACATAGATAATAATTATTATGTTCTCATATTTTCCATCTAATCGGCAGATGGACAATAAAATATATTTTATATTTTATTTTTCAATAACCGTTGACTGGGTTGACCCGGCGTTGACCGGACTGACCCTCCCGGGTCCGGGTTGACCCGTGACCCGGTAGCTTGACCAGGTCGTCTCCCGGTCTGGTTTTAACAACATAGGATATATGGTGTTCGTTCAAAACATTACCCAAGGTGTTTCAGGCGCACAACATCCATTAATGAAGATAGGTATCCAGACTCCAGAGGATAGGAGAAGGACCCCTGGCATAACGGTAAACACAAGAAGCAATTCCATTGATAATAGATTTGTAATGCCTTACAATCCCAGTCACTTACAGAAGTTTTGCGTCCATATCAACGTTAAGTGGTGCAACCAGTCACGTTCAATCAAATACTTATTTAAGCATATCAATAAAGGGCATGATATGGTCGCAACTGCATTATATAAAAACACTCGAGCCGGCAACTAAGCGGACACAGTTGATGAGATTAAGATGTACTACAATTTTAGGTACTACATTAGTGTGTGAAGTGATGCAGAGAATTCTATCATTTGATATACATTATAGAACACTGCCAGTTGAAAGACTATGTTGTCACTTGCCGAATGAGCAACTGTCGCGTACAGAGAAAGTTACCCCAGAGAATCCATGACGGAGGCAAGGAGAAATCAACACAATACTTTGACAGGTTGGTTTAAAGCAAATATACAATATGATGAGGCAGGAAGTTTGACATATGTGGATTTCATACCAAGTTTGTGTGGATGCAAGACCAGAAAAAGTGGAGGATTCAAAAAACAAGGCTACACAATAGGTAGGTTACATAACATTTCACCAAAATCCGGTGAGCTTTGGTATCTGTGAATCATACTGAATAAGGTCAAAGGGTGCACGAGCTTTGTAGCCATTCACACGATTAATGGGGTTGAGTATTCATATTATAAAGAAGCATGATATGCACTGGGATTGATAAGCGACAACTGTGAATACATAGAAACGGCCAAAGAGGTCGATGTTTGGGCATCTGCCGGTTATTTGTGGTATTTATTTTCCGCTATGCTATTTTCATATGCAGTCCACAGACCTCACAATGTCTGGGAATCATGTTGGGAGATGATGATCGAAGATTACATGTACCGCCTTTTGAAAGGTTTATTTAAGCCATGCAAGTAAAGTAATTCAAATTATTCTTAAGTCTAACTATAAAATAAAACACTTATATAGCGTCTTTATAACTACTCTATGTTAATGAAGGCAGAGAGCATTACATAGAGTACTCCAAGAATAAATGTCTTGCATATATTGAAAGAATATTACAAAGGAATGAAAAGAGTCTTGCAAATATTGAAGGTATGCCGAAATCCGATGCATCGTATGTAAGTTATGTTGAAAATGCGCTTATAAATGAAGAGATGAGATATGACACAAAAGACTTGGCACGACTGCTACCACATCTCATTGACCAGTTAACCGATGAGCAAAAGTATATTTGCATAGACATCGTTAATGTTGTGTGTGAAAACACCACTGGTAAATGTATTTTTATATTTTCAAAATGTGTGTTAGTATCAAGGTTGTTAAAATCGTATTTTTGAATCGAATCGGTAGATGTTTTTAAAAATCGAATCGTAAAATCGAATCGCAAATCGTAAGATTTTACCAAACATATTTTAATAATTATAAAATAAATAAATATTAAAATTAAGTTGCAAGTTAATGATATTATATCATTTCATTACATAAAACTATACCTAAAATGTCAAAAGCAAGATTTATAAATTGTTTTTATAATGTAAATGTATTGAATAATAACATTAAACATATGTAAAACATAAAAATAATTAAGTAACACAAGAATCCATTACTTTTGTAAATAAACTATTCATATTATTATTGGAATTATGTATCAATTTGTAGTTGTTAATTTTAATAAATTTGAAACATTTTCACCATAAACAACTTATTACGATTTTGCTACGATTTTATACGATTCTACACGATTTTAGGACGATTTTTTCACGATTTTGTACGATTTTATGATTTTACGATTTTACCTGAGATTTGAATCGCTTTATTAATGTAGAATCGTAAAATCGTACGATTTTACGATTTAAATCTAGATTTTAACAACCTTGGTTAGTATGGACATTGTTAAATTGAAAATAAATATATAAATTTTAATATATTTGTAATAAAATTGTTGTCACGTAGTGAATCATATTTCCTCTTTTATATAGTGGTTTTCTTTGTCTATAGATACAGTGGAATCGGAAAAACATTTATATGGATCAGAATACTGTGGCAACATCTATTAGGAGTGCAGGAAACATTGTTTTTGCAGTTGTGTCAAGTGGAATAGCGTCGTTACTGTTGCCTAGAGGTAGGACAACACATTCCGGATTTTCTACCCCACTAAACACAAGTTGTAAACTCAAGTTGTAATATTAATCAAGGAAGTCACCTAGTGATCGACTGATAGCAACAATGCTGAAATTTCACTTTGATCATCTTTTGAGTAATATTTGTGTGGTTATTTACAAGTAAATATTATGAATATAAGAATATGTTTTTCCTAAATCTTTACTAAAATTAGTCATTGACAAAACAACAAAATATGAATGGATAACTATGATGATTATAGTGTAAAATTCAACATGATTACAATTACTAAAAATATAACAAACCACTCTATATAATATGTCATGTTTTTATCCATCATCCTTGTATCTATTTATATATGCCATTATTTGATACTACGTACTCTTGTATCTATCTTTCCTAATATAATAACAAAAGGATTCTTCCTGAGGAGGTTGACACCAAAACTAATTGGGCCAATCCTTTCCTTAGGATAAAATTAAACCTCTTGGGATGGATTTCTCTGTAAGTTCTTGATAAAACTCTTCTAACATGGACTGATGGACATTAAATTAAATGCAGTGTTTCCAGCTTTTCACTTTTCAATGCATTTTCCAACCTTTTCGTATTCCAACGCCAATAAATAAACTTATATTCAAAGTTAATTTTTCAACTTTTAACAAATTAAACATTTTTACTGATTTATTCGAGTTTAAGGAGATAGTTCAATCAACATCCATAAATATAATAGAAATTATCTTAAATAGGACTAAAGTTTGCATGAAAAACACAAATAGGACTACTATTTTTTAAATCCCTCCATGGAGTGCGAGTCTAGGGTTTGGAAGAAGATGAGTGGACTCTGTTTTAATTCCGTTTATTCTATTTGTGTTTTTCTTTCGAATTGCATGCCGTTTTGGATGTGTTCATATTTCCTAACAGAGAGATTCTAGAATTTAAGTCAGGTGATGAGAAGTCCGGTTTGGCTATCATTGGAATATTGGATCAATCATGCCCATCACAGGATCAACGAATATTATTGCTTCTGCAGATGTGATAGATTCTAAATTTGGTTCAAGGACAGACAACAGACAAAAGGCTTTTTATCATTTTGTTTCCTGCTTTTTCTTTGATTGTATTATCAGCCATGTGACGAATGTTGTTTTGATTTAATATATTTGTTGGTTTGAGGATAAAAAAATCCCCCCATAAGACTAAACATTGTTTTTCTACCCAAAATACCCCTTAAGGGTATTAATTCCTAATGACTAATTTAATTCATAATATAATTGTAAAAAATAATATAAAAAAACATAAAAAATAACATAACTATTTATAAAATAAAAATTTAAAATATATATATATATTTGATTTTTTTAAAGGGATTAAAGAAAAAGTAAAAATCGGTAAAAAAAAAAAGATGGATACCTATTACCTTTGCCACCGCCTCTTAGCACCACCACCTTCAATCGGTGAAAGTTATGTCATTTTTGTAATAAAAAAAGAAACCATTTTTATAAAAGTGAAAAGAAAATGACAGTATTACTGTTGATAATGCTAATATTTTCATTGAATCTGTCATTATTATGACATTACTAAAAATGTTGGAAGTTTTCCTAATTCCCACTGATGATCTGAGATGGTGGTGCTAGGGGTGTCAAAGACGCCAATGTTCTTTTTAATTATGTTTTTATTTTATTTTTTTATCTTTAAATATTTTTTTAAAATTTTATTTTATAAACATTTTATCAATTTTTTATTTTTTTATTTTTATGATTTTAATACGAATTAAAACATTTCAAAAGTTACAAGAGTATATTTGTCCAAGCACACATAAATAGTCATATGGGGGGATTTAAAAATGTAGTCCCAATTGCGCATTTTGACCAATTTTTGTCATATTTAAGTTTTTCACTCTACTGGGTACAATTTAAGATTTGTAATCCTATGAAACTTTGGTGAACTTCCTTATATTGATGTGGATTTGGATGGATTTCCACAAAGGACATTTTGAGGGATTTCAACCTTTTCTCTTTTACCCTTTCCCTTTCTTGGAGGAGCAGCAGCTTCGGATGTGTGTTTTGCCTCCTCAGGTGGTGGCTCTGAGCCGCCTTCGCTTCCTCTGTGATAGGAATGGTCGATGTCAACAGTTTGGTCCTTTTTTTTCTGGCCAAAATAATCGATGACAACCTAGGGAGTGTTTGCACCAGCTTAAAAAAAACACTTCTCATCTTTTGGATTAAAAAAGCACTTATTTATCAAACACTTCCAATTTTTATTTTTTCTCGACTTGCGTGTGAAAAGTGTTTTTCCCTTTTCTATTACACAAAAAGCACTTAATTTACCAAACACTACCAACTTTTACTTTTCAAAATCACTTTTTTCTTACACTTTTTCATTACATTTCCAAACGTGTTTTTTTTTAAAGCAGAAGCAGTTGCAAACACTTCCTAAGGGTTGTGGCCGCGGATAGGTAGCAGATTCATGGCTTCTTTGGTAAGTATAAGAGGAGATGGCTTCGAGATATGTATACATATATGAACCCTTGAAGTCTTCTTTCATCTTGGACTTGAGAATCTGAGTGACGAGTCTAGCAAATCTCACGTATATACATGAGATTTGACAATAGGATTTCTGAATGTATTTTTGTTAGTGAAGTCCTATAAAATCCTAATCCAAAAAAGAATCCCCAGTTGTGTTGGTGTTTTAAATACATGAACGACTTTTCTAGACTCTCCAAATGTCTTAAAATGTTTCAATTGAGTACAAACAGTGACCCAGATTCTGAAAATCCTAAAATGTCTTAAAATGTCTCAATTGAGTACACCCCTAAGAGCATCTCCAATGTTACAATGTGCACGGTATACATGTGACATGAGAGAGATAGACACAAAAAATTGAATGTATGACATTTCTCTCTCATTCTTTCCACGGTCTTATGTGTTTTTGGTAAGTTTTCCTCTACAATGCCAAACACAATGTCTACATCTAGACATTGCGATTGACATTGTGAAGGAAAACTAGGCTTGGACCCGGTTCAGGCCACCCGGCCCGGGAACCGGCCCAGTGTTCTAAATGGGAAATACTTCAAAACATTTCAAAAAAATCATGTTCTCTTATGTGGAACAAGATGATTTTTTTGTCCTTGAAGTGATTATTGTAAAATGTTTAATGTATCATTTTGAATTTTAATTTTTTTTAAATTTAATTTAAGATTGAATATTTCGGCCGTGCATCGCACGGGTGCGAATACTGCATTTCACCGATTAGAGGTGTACAGATTCCAAACGACTCAAAGGACCTGAACCTTCAAACGCATTTCAGTCAGGTAGGAACACAAACTAGGAATTTAGGTTTTTCGAAGACATAATCAAAATACTGCATATAATTTATTTACAATATGACCACAAATTACTATAGTATAAATTCATGGACTCGTGTTCACTTGAGTGTACAAATTGAACATAAATCACTATAACTAAACGTCTAAACTTGCTACTACAATCACATTTTTATCAGTAACCTTTATTTAAGTTATAAATGTGTAATTATTTCAAATAAAAATAAAAGCATAAATTCACTTGTTAATTAGTTAATACATCAAGAGATGTTCATCAACGTGTAGAAGTGGAACTCAAATATGCACCCCTGCTTTAACGACTATGGGATATTGGGATCAAGTTTCATCCTCCACTTGTCAAAAACAAGTACAATTGGGATTTTTTACTTCCTAAACAAATACTCCGTAATAAATACATTGTGCTTGATCTTCAATATTCTTAACGAACATTACGATTATCAAAATTCAAAATGAATGAATATCAAGGATGAGTCCCCAAACCGCTATCTAAATAATGTAAGCTTTAGAACCAGAGTGAGATACATTACCGGCTAAAAAAACTTACCCCAAAAGAATCGGAGAGCTTTTTAGAGCAATATATGATAACTGGTCAACAATTACAAATCACGAATGGGAGGGTGATACTGTTTTCTCAGCAAGATAATGCTCGAGCATGTCATCCTCATCCACTGCAAACACAGAAACAGGTTTTTAATTTTAGTTAGAAGAAAAGTATATAGGATGACTAGTATTATTTTTATGATGATGACGATTACTCAAAACACACAAAGAAGACTATTATTATTACTACTCCATAGTAGTCTTACCGTGGACCATTACCGTTGACCATTGACATCATTACCAATACATTACCACCGCTACTACTATCATTATTCATTATTATAATAATATAATATAACCATTACTATTTTTATATTTAATTTGGCTTGATCATCATGATAATTATTACTCGTATATTATTATATAATTAGTGTTGTTGCTATTGTTATGTTATTGTTGTTGTTATTAAAATTAACTCTGAAGTGATTAGGTGAAGCTGGAAGTGACCTTCAAAGTCTTCATCATCAAAATCAATATCCTCTTCGCCTTCATCAGACTCTTCAGCATTGACAGCCGTTGCGCCCTTCTGTACAGAACAAACAACAAAATAGATTCAGGTAAAAGAAGAAAAGCATAGGGGTTTTCTCTGGTGTATTATTTTCATTATGACTCTGAAAGGGAACACATATAAGGTCCCTTGGTATATAGGGTCCCATTGGAACCCTGAAGAAGCTAGGGAGAGGATAAAAAGGAAAGTAGAGCTAGGGTTTGAAAGGAAATAAAATGTAGGGGAAAATATAAAAAAGGTTCACTCATATAAATTTAGACATTTGCCCGAACTTATTATTCATTTGATATACTTATAGTATAAGAAATATGAATATATTTGTGAAATTTTGAAAAGTTTTAATTAAATCTGAGTTTCTTTCATATTTTCAATGTAAAATGGAACGTAAAAAACAAAAATAAAAAACTATTTTCCTAAGAATTTTTTCCTTTTCCATACAATCTTCTGCGTTACAAATATAGCCATTACGAATTTATTTATCTCCATAAGAAAAGAGTCAGTCAGCCAATGGGATTTGGATCAAATAGCATTGGAAAATAATGCTCAAGATCCAATGAATCTTGGTGAAATAAATGCATAGGCCCAACTCATGCGGGCCACGACTAATATAGTATACTAAACACGTTCATTGGAAGGAAGATAGTAAAAGTACTGAAAGAAATACCGCAGATGCTCTTCCGCTTTCAAACCAGTGTCTGCCTGTCAGCTTCTTCTCTTTGGGTGCTGAAAGAGCTGAATCTGGCATTAACCTGAATATTTTTTATTTATCATGACTTCCACAATTGTCACTCACACACACACAAGCAAACACGAATGCAACTTTTACATTCATGCATATGAACAAAAGGGTTAGGCATTATATGTTCTTCCCTTCAGTATTATAGACTTGTTACAAATTACAATATAATGCATGCTGCTTTCATGATGGCCATCTCAATAGGAACAAATTAGAAGCTTAAGATTGAAATCTAATAAACTAATAAATAATTAGTGTACTCTATGGAAAAATATTTATTGCCCTCCTATTCACCTTGCTCTTTGCAACTTTAATGGAAACTTTATCACTGACAAATATTTGTGTACCATCATCATAATGTACTAATTGCTAACTGCATATGAAGCGAGTTTTAAAACTGTATGATAAGAACCAGTGATGACTCACAGGGGTCCATAACATACATATGAATTTTCTTGATTTGGTTGCAAGGCTTATGAGTGAGCCACACAAGGATTTTCTACTTACTTGGCTCTTTCGAGTGCCTGTTCTGCCTCAAATCTTTCCCTCCATGCCAAGAATGTTTCAATGGTCACCGGTTCTCCATGAGGCACAACTATCTGTAATAAAAATAGAGCCACATTTAATTTGAATGGATCTAAATATAGGTGAACTGAATGAAAGATGATATTGGCATGCATGTGAGGACAAGAAGAAAGACATGTAAAATCACTTGAATAAAAAACCTATTGGAGAAAGAGTTCAAAAGTACATACACTATTATAGTATTTTAGCGCTAATCATTTGCACTAGGTACTTCTATGAGATACTTTGCCCCTCCCAAGTCCCAAATAAGGGGTCATGTTTGGTCAAGGTTTAGAATTGAATTTTTTCTGTTATAATAAATTCATCATAGTGATTTTCATTTTTTTGAGGGGGGGGAGTACATGAAACATTAACTCTGTTTTAACCATATAATGACAGTTTTTGGGGACATAAAACTTGAATCAGGAACTTGGAGAGGATGTAGGACTATATACAAATGATTACCCCTATATGGCTAAATATAAGTGTATCCATACATAAGATCATAAGAACACTGTTTTCATTCTCCA